CCTTTCCTCACCTTTATCCACCACTGCATCACCCCAGGCCTGATTAGTTCGTAATGGCCTGTGCTGTTTTCCCTTGCTCAAAGTCAATTACAGAAGACGCTTTTAAGCAGGTCAGATGCTACAAAAATATTGTGTGCCGTTGTGTTCAGCACTAATGTGACATTACTTTCCATTGGGAGTATTAAATTTTGTTTCTTACATACCACTGTTTTGAGTTGAGAAATGCATTTACTAATTGATTTATAACTAAAACATGCATTTATAACTAAAACATTTTTTTAAAAAAAGCCATTTCTGAATGTCAGTGACCAAGCCCTCAGTTTGTTACATTGGCACCCTTCCTGCCCGCAGTGATTCTGTCCTGTGATGAACTGTGGCCAGTTTCACTGTCACTGGCCACCCCTGCGAGTGGGGATGGGAAGGGATGTCTGAGCCAGGAGTCTCTCTTCCCACTGTGCACCTCAGTTTCCCCATCTGTAAAAGTGGGGACTTGGAATAAATAATCTCCAAAGCTTCTTTTATACTTAGTGTAAAAATATAATAGTGAATGACACATGTAATACATTACTTTATTCCTGCAAAACTTCTAAACATTACAGGCAACCTCTCCAACTCTGTCCCACCTCCCCTCAGCCCTGCCCAGCCCGAGGCATCTTCCCAGCGGTAGCCACGGCGACACGTCTATATGACTCTTTCTCAGGCATTGTTCCATGGATTAGCATAAAAATGAATTTATAGACCCTTTAAGATGTTTCACGGACTCGTTTTGTAATAACGAGCTATATTTTGAGTTAATAGGAGCCTTGTTTCTTTAGGTAGTGTATAAATGCAGCTCAGTGTGATTGTTTCGTAGGGTTAGAACAATCTAGGTAAAATACGAATGCAGTTTTAAAGCAGAGAAATTTTTGTACCACTTTTACTTATCGTATATGAGTCTGCCTGACTTAATACTATAACTTTGCTCCTGGAAGCTTAGTATAAAGATATGCTGGAGTCAACCGAATGGTACCATTAATTGCATCCTTCTTTGATGATGAACTTTTTATTATAAAAGTAATTCTATATAATGTATATATGTGTGTGTGTACATATAAAAGGAAAAGCCCCTCTTCTCAACCTCTAGCCCAGTCATTCTCTCCCAGAAGAAACTGTTGTGTCCATTTCTGCCTCCAGAAATTACGCTCACGTGTGCTTTCTTCTTTACTGCTCACTGTGTTTCCCTTTAACGTTCAGTGCACACACACGTACACACACGCGCGTGTGCTCATTTGCTCATGGCGGGCTGAGAGGACTCTCGCGCGTGCACCTACTATACACTCGGCACAGTGATGCCCATTTTGTTGGCTCTGTGTGAATTAGAACGCTGAGGTCCAGGGATGTGGAATAACTTTGTCGGCTTCCTACAAGTAGTAAGTGGCCCAGCCACTCCAGTGCAGACATGCTTTTTAGACCCTCTAGTCGTTTGTTTATTGGAAGACTCTCCTTATTACAAGACTACAGGGAACTCTCAAACTCAATGTTAAGGCTCAAAGAAAATAAAGGAAGACTGAGGGATGAGGGTGAGATCTGGGAACCATGCCTAAAATTATATCCCCGAGCTTCAATCCCAGCCAGCAGATGCAGGAAGTGACCAGATGTGGGGTTTGCCCAGTGCTTGACCACGCAGTGGGACTTTGGGAGAGCCAGAGCTCTCAAAACCGGGGGAAAGGGTATGCTTTGGAAAGCATTGGAGCTAATGGGGATGGAGCAGAAGTTCTCCTTCCCATCAGCCTGAGGCTTCCCTGCTTTGTGCCATTTACCTGGACCTGGAACCTGAGAGAAGCCCCCAGCAGTTGGGCATTGGCTTTCTCTTTTTTATTCATCTCAGCATCATGGGAAATTCGGAGCATCCGAGCTTGAGTGCTCAGAAATCCTTCTGGAAAGCCAGGGGAACTGGGAGCAGGGATGTGTATGCTCCATCTTCTTTTAACAGAAGACGCGTATTTCTTAAGTCACCTTCGGTTAAAGGAGGAAGAACATTTATTGAGTCCTCTGATACGTCTGGTAGTATGCTGAGTGGTCTTCGTTCCAGCTTTGTGAGATGCAAAGTCCACATTTCATGGACGAGGATCCCGGCCATCAGATCTTTGGGTAACTGTCTAGAGGACGGAGAGCTGAAATAGTGGGGGTGGGATCAGGCCTTCACCCGCTGACTCCAAAGCCCACGCTTTTGCCAATGCTCTTCTCTGCTCTAGGCTTGGAAGCGAGATAGACAGACAGCTGTCACCAGGCTGGCCACAATTAAGTCCACTAGCCACCCTGTCTTTTCTGGACATTTCTAGTCTTAAAACTAATGACCTCTTTGTTTAATGAGTGTCTTCTGATCACTCAGAAACATTTGATACGCTTGACTTCTTAGGATGATTTTTTTTTTTAATTCTGAAATCTGAGCTTACATTGGAATGTAAATAAGCAATCATTTACCTGGTGGCAGAGGCTTCCTGGAATCAGTTTTTCAAACTATGAGTTCATCAGTGAGTTAGGAAATCACTTCAGTGGGTCATGACCAGCATTTTAAAGACTAGGAGAGTAGAGGATAGCAGAGAACAAGAAACTATCAGTGCACAGCACACAGCAAGGACGAGTATGTTTTGTGTGTGTGTGTGTGATTTTTATTTCTGTGATATACATGTACGTGTGCACTAATGTAAAATGCATTGCTTACTCCAGGTCACAGTTTTTTTTTTTTAAAGTGAGCTTTGAAAAGAGAAATGTGAACAGATGTATAATTCATTAAATTGCGTGTTGCTGTTTTCTGGGCATAGCTTGCCCTGTAGTTACTGACAAAGCACCCTTAGGCCATTGGCACAGACGGATTGCAAGTTGAGCTTTCTGGACGTATCTGTGTGTTAATCTTTCCCCAGATCCTTGGTTAGATGGATGTGCCTGCCAGATTCAAAACATGTTGTGGACACTCAGGGAGGGCAGAGTGACGTTTCCAAAAGCTGTAGTGAGTTAGTAGCAGAAGTGGGACCAGAATTAGATTATTTATGGATTCTTTGCAGACTGGAAAAAAAAAAAGAGGGCTGAGCAATGGCTGTCATACTGAGGTCAGTGAGCAGCTGTTCCTTCATTGATGGAGCTAGAAAACAAGGGAGATGGACTTTGATTGCAGCAGCAGGGATTGGGCTAGACCTGGGGAGGGACTTCCTCACCGTGAAAAGTAGGGGCGGCGTGTATCACCCCTCCTGCAGAGGTCTTGAGAAAAGCAAGATAAGTTCCCTTCTGCCATGGGGTTTTGGGGGGACAGCAGGAGGGTGGGCGAGCCTGAGCACTTTTCCCAACCAAATGTCCTTATTCCCTTGGCCACACCCTCCCTCTCTCCCATGAGCGGGCGTGGTCTGGAGCTGGCTGTGTTTCTGTCCTCAGCCGAGGATGGCCAGGATGAGCCCCACGGTGTTTAGCTGGGTTGTAGTTAGCTTTGCATTTCATCCGGATGACAAACCAGGCCTGCAGCAGCTGCGATCAGCTGTTGGAAGAGAGGAACCGGGTGAGGAGGGGGCAGCTCCTAGCCTCTTGCCCAGCCCTAGTCCAGCGCTCAGCACCCACCTCTCCGCTTGCCTCTTTCTGCGGCTGGCTCTTCCCACTGTGATTTCTTCTGCCTTTTGCCCTGCATCTCTTTTCATCTTCCTGTGTCTTTTTTCTCTTCTCCCCTTTATGTCTTCTTGGGCCATCGAAAGCCGCTGTGCTTCTCTGTGGATCTTTTGGAGCAGCGGGTTTATTCGGCACAGGGGAAGGTTCAGAGAGCCCCCACTGCTGAGCCCCCTTCCCCAAACAGCAGCTGTAGTCAGGAGCTTTTCGACAATAGGAGAAAAGCCCAGATTCAGGCAGACTTGGATTCTCACCTTGACTCCACCCCTTGCTGGCCAATCATTGAACTTCTCTGAGCCTCAGTTTCCTCCTGGGTTATTCAGGGATATCCATGCCTTCCTGAGGATCTTGTTGTGAAATGAGGAGACCTCCAGAAAAGCCCCTTGCTTGGGGATGGACGCACACTGCACGTTCAGTCTATGCTTGTTCTCCTCTGGGCCCCTCCTGAGACAGAGTTCCCTCCCTGCCTTCCTCGGCAGCCGTGCACCCCGCTTGGTGGCCTGGTGCCACCCCACCTCTTGCTTCAGCCCAGGGCTTGTTTTGCTTTTACTGAGCCTCGAAGATTCGTTGAATTCCATGGAGAAAACAGTTCCGTGAAGGGGCATAATTCTTCTGTACCAACTCTTGTTATTTTTCCAGGCTTAGAAAAAAAGGGAGTCTGAGAAAATAAGCCGTTTTTAACATTGAGTCATCCCAAGATGGGGGGGAAAAGGCAACAGCTCGGACAAGCCCTAGACGTCACCATGGTCTGAGCTTACGTCAGGCACTGACATTTTATTTCTTAAACCACGTGGGCAGGTGATAAAGATGGTTAGTGAAAGGGGATATTGCCCAACCGAGACTCTGAACCACTGCCCTCCTCCCAAAATTCACTCGGCCTTCAGCTTGCTCTGAATCAGCCATCAAGCGAGGCTGGCCCCTCTCGTAGGCAGCCGGCTGGGGAGGACACCCTTGACCGTCTGCTGGCACCTGCGTTTTCACTGAGCCCCGGGCTGCGGAGCAATGTACGCGGTGTCCGGGGGTCTCCCCGCCCCCTCAGAGCCCACAGGCTAGTGGAGCCAGGATGGCCTTATAGTCCTGGGTTCCTCTCATGATTCCTGGGCTCCTCTGGTAGGAGAATCCAGAGGAAGCTTCTAGGGATGTTGGAGAGAGTAAGAAAGCCACTTCTAGGCTGATGTTGGCTTTTTTGGACTCTGGCCCTTTTTTGGAGGTTGTTGGCTGGGCCGTGGACTCCTCACCTCTGCCTCCTACGCCCCCGAGTCTGAGAGTCAGGGCTTTGCCTTCTGCCTTGACCTTTGAGGCTGCACCAGAGAAGTAGCTCCTTCCCTGCATTTCCTCCCAGCCTTCACATGGCCTTTCTCTCTGCGCAGGTTTAAGGATTACCGGGAGCCGCCCTGGGCCCCAAACCCATATGAGTTTTCCAAGCAGTACTGGTCCATTCTGTCTGCCCGTCTGGCTTTTGTCATAATCTTCCAGGTGAGTTGTTCAGATAAGGCACAGCGGGTCAGGATCCGGGCTGCAGGGGTACAGATGGCCCCGTCTCCGGGTTTTCAGGGCGCTCTGTGACTCGGGGGCCTTCGCGTGCGGCGGGCAGCCCTGAGACCCTTCCCTGGGTGAGGGCTTTCGTTAACGGATGGATTTGCAGAAGGAGGATAAAGCACAGAGTAAGGTTACAAGACAGATGTGGAGTAAGGTGCACGGTGGAGATTGATTCCCATGTAAACCTAAGACCAGGAAGTGGGGAACAGCGTGGGAGAGCAGAGCCTCACCTCGGGACTTGGTTTAAAAGGCCAGCACCTGACTTGACCAAGCAGCTCCAGATCACTTATGGCACCCGGCAGCCTCTGGGAGCAGCCCTTGGTTCCCAAGTCTTCCCTGGGCCCTGGGAGCACACAGGGTTCAAGGTTGAGCTGGGGGTGGGTTCAGAGCATGGAAGACAGGTGGCAGGGCTCTGATATCTCTTGGGCTGTCACTGTCCTCCAGGTCTAAGGAGAGGGGGCGTGCGAGCATAAGATGGGCAGGCAGAGGAAACTACAGCTGGAGGGTGAGGGGCAGCCTGCGGCAGGCAGGCCTGGGAGCCAGAGCATACGGGGAGCTGCCCTTTAGCGGGCGGTGCTGGCACTGCAGGACGTATTCACCCACTTAAATAGAAAACGCTCCCAGGAAGGGAGGGTCTTATCCTACACTACGGGAGGGGAGGTGGCTTACTGGGGGGAAGGAAGGCACTTACGGATGTGCACAAAACCTCAGAACCGATGCAGGCCCTTTGAGGCAGGGCCCAGGCAGGCGGTGAGACCAGAGCGTGGGGTTGGCTGAGGTCGGAAGTCAGTGCAGAAACCAAGGGTCCACCTCCGATATGGGGACGGAGGGACAGCTGGGAAGAAGAGAGGGGCGGTTGGTTCAGGGAGAGCCCTGCAGGGGCCGTTGGGCTCTGGAGCCCGGGTCCTGGAGGCAAGAACAGGACACGTGGGGGCAGGGGGGCGGAGGGGAAGAAGCCAGTTCACACTGTCTGGCCGTGCATAGGAGGGGTGCTCTGGGAGATGGGCGCCGTCCCTACTCCACTTTCACCCGGGGACCCCAAGGGACAGTGAAGCTTGTTGGCTGAGATCACCCGCTAGTTGGCCGAGGAGCCAGAGGAACCCAGAGGCCCCCTGCTCCCCCTCCCCGGGTCTGGGGTCTGTGCCCTCACCACTGCCCAGCCCGCCTGCCCCGGGGCGGTGGAGCCCTCCCGCCCAGCCTCTCCTCTCACCACCCCCTTCTGGCTCTCCAAGAACCTGGTGATGTTCCTGAGCGTCCTTGTGGATTGGGTGATCCCTGACATCCCCACCGACATCAGTGACCAGATCAAGAGGGAGAAGAGCCTGTTTGTGGACTTCTTCCTGAAAGAGGAGCATGAGACGCTCAGGCCGACGGAGGAGCCTGCCCGGAGGAGCCAGGGCGCCAGCCGTCGCAGTGGGGGCAGCCCGGCAGCCAGCCCGGTGCCCTCGGGCCGGAGCCAGCGGGGCAGCAGCACGTCCCCGGGGTCCCAGCACACCAGTGTGTGAGCAGCTGAGACCAGCCCGGGGCTGCGCACCCGCATGGGTGCGGTGTCCGTCCTTCCGCAGGATCTGGCCTGAGGGGCTCTTGAAAAGGGCGTGTGTGTGCATGTGTGTGTGCGTGTGCGTGTGGACAGAGGTTAGAGACAGGAGGCAGAGGATGGGCGCGGGAGGGAAGAGAATGATGCTGCTTCTCAGAAACTTCAAGCTTGGGTTTCTTTTAGGTCCTCTTTTGAGCTGTATCCTTTGGGCGATTGGTACCCCCTTTTGCATCCATTGGTGAAAGAATTGGGTCTCTCCAGCCCAGAGTCCCAGGCACCGCGAGCCCTGCCCTGTGCCCCCTCAGATACCGTCCCCAAATTTCGGTGGCCGCGGGCCATGAGAAGCACAGTCCGGGCCCTGTTTCAGCCCCATCATAAGTGATCACCACCCCACCCCCACTTCCCACCATCACCCTGAGAAAACCCTCTGCATCACTGTCACAGCCTCAGTGGATGCAAATTATGTTCCGTGGCTGATTGCTGTGGCCTCTGGACCTAATGGTGAGCAAAGGTCCAGACCTGGGCTTGTCTCCAGTTCATGTCATGGGGATGCTTTGAGCTAAATGCAGCTAGCCATCATTTTATGCAGGTTCAGGTTTAAAATAATAAATTGAAACATTCTTTATAAAGATGCATCTCCTTGTCTTCCGCTCTCTCTCTCCTACTTCCTACTGATATTTATGGAGCCCATACTGGGTGCCAGACATTGTTCTCAGACCAGAGATACAGCAGAGGACAAAAGACAAAATCCCGCTGCGCGGAGTTATGTTCTGGGGACAGTTACATCAGACAGTGAGCTGACGAATGCACAGCATTTCAGGCGATCATCAGAAATATAAAATAGGATAAGGGAGACAGGAAATGTGAGGGCATGGGAGGAGGGGTTTGCCATTTTATACATGAATTAATGACAAACCCAGGATGGTTCGGAGATCACCTCTTGCAAAGCTAACATCATTGATCGGTAGCGGCCTCCCGAGCTCTGCGGGGAGATTTTCTAGTTGGAAGCAAAGGCCAAACGTCATTTATCATTGCCTTTCACACACCTCCACCCACCTGCTGACCAGAACCAGTGCACTGGCCCTTCCCTTGGGACCTGGCCCCAGTTCCCTGCAGGTCAGTCTGACTAGCGTACAACTTGGTCACAATGGAAGCTGCCAGGAGGGCCACACCCCAGAGGAGGTGTTGGTTACTTTAAGGACATGCTGAAGTTTTAGGTTGGTTTTCCAGGTTTTGATTTTCACGCCCACCGTCTTTTCTCAACATTTTACCTCCTTGTCCAAATCCTTTATACTTTAGGAACATGCTCTTCCCGAATAATACATTACTCTCTCCCCACCCCTCCATCCATTTATAATCTACGGTATATGAATCCAGCAGCTTCTAAACTCTTAACTTATATGAATCCGTCACGGAAGAGAGGTGAAGGCTCCCCCAGCCCCCTGTAAACTTACTCTCTTGCATTTCCTGTGCTGCTGAAGGCTGTACCTTTTCCTGCAGTGTGTGTTTTCTGAGATACATTTCTTGCTGGTAAGTGAGGTTGGACTCGTCCATTCCTCCCCTGACAAGCACAGTTCTGCAGCTCCCAACAGCACGGCACAAATGAAGGGTATGGCTCAGTGTGGATGACTGAGCTTACCTTCCACGGATCCATTCTACTCACCTTTTACACGGTTGGCCCTGGGCAACGGTGTCTCGGATCTCCTAAACCCCTTCAGCCCAGGTAAGCGGTGTCCAAATTTCCACTCCTGCCCCGACCCACGGGGGTATCCGCTCTGCTCAGCCACAGCAGAGGGCGCCAGAGAGCAGAGCCCACCCTTCAAGGCTGAGCCACGCGTTCTGGAAAACAAAGCAGATGTTTCTTACACACGCAGCCCTGTTTGCACATCTGGCTCCCCTCCTACTCCCCTCTCTCCTCTGCCCTGTCCCCTGCACAGCAGCAGGTGGCAGTGCCCGCAAAGCCACCTCCCTTCAGGACCAGCCGAGAAGACTTTCTGCCCGCGACTCTCACCCAGACACGGTGGATTCCACCGACCCTTCCGGCCTCCCCGGGGCTCCTGCAGTTTATCTGCAGAAAGGAAGTGCAAGGCGAAAGCCAGATGGGAATTCCAAGAGACAGCTCCGCATACGAGTTCAGGAACCTTCATGCTTCATGAAGCTTCTTTCTCTCCTTTCCTCACGGAGGCCCGAGGCTTCCCAGCCAGGATGTCTTCCTCAATTAGGGGGATGAAGCCACAGGCCGTAAGGGAAAGAGGCAGACTTTTGACAATGGGTCCCACATCATAACCTGCTCTTCGTTTTCCCCCAGCACAATGGACTCTGGTTGGCCTGTCTCAGGTTCCTCAGAGAGTATGTGTCATCTTCTATCAAGAACCACATCTGCCTGGTCTGAGTGAGGCTGCTTGTTGGGAAACAGGTGAGGCCCCTGAAATAGGCCTTGTCAACCCTATCCCCCGGGCCACCTTCCTGCTACACTCTCAAGAACTTTGCTGGGTGTCTCCCTTATCAACTTCAAACTTGGTTTTCTCAGCTGTCAACCCCAGGCTTTACTCCACCTGCCTCTCTTGATTCTTTTCTTCTTGCTTCCATTAATTGCCCACTGTCTTTTCACGAGGCTGAGTTTTTCCATTTTATCTGTCTTCTCAGTGGCCCCTGTCTCTTTTCAGAAACCCCTCGGAAGCTCCTCTCCACGTAGCTGGGCAACATATGTAGAGTACTTTTCCATATCATTATGTCAAAAGCAGGTGGTGTTATTAACATGGGCAGATCCTGGCTTTGTGGGACCAGGAGCTTCTACAATTTTAGGGATCCTCTTTAAGAAAAAAGTACCCCAGATTACGAAATAAACTTAGGTACAAAGGTGACTATTTATCTAGCATGAAGAGAGAAATCATAAAAAAATATACATTTTAGGCTAACACCAGAAACACCACAATAGGGACTGGGAGCCCAGTGGTTGAGACTTCGCCTTCCAGTGAAGGAGGTACGGGTTCTATCCCTGGTCGGGAGCTAAGATCCCACATGCCTCGTGGCCAAAAAACCAAAACATAAAACAGAAGCAATATTGTAACAAATTCAATAAAGACTTTAAAAAAATGGTCCATATCAAAGAATCTTTAAAATAAAATTCTTTTAAAAACCCCAGAACACCACAAAAGCAGTAAAAAATAACTTCATTTTTTGTTAATTAACCAACTTGCTCACCCTTATAGTAATACTGCTCCCTCCACACCGTTGGCTGCAGGTTCCTTAATTGCCTTTTCATACCAATATTTCCAATAAGGAGAAGAGAAAGGAATCCAGTCTTTTCCTCTAGCAAGTTTGATCTACATTTACTTTCTATTTTGGTTAGAAACTTAAAAATTTTCTTTCAGCTCCACAACTCACTGTGGGTCATTTCATGTGAATTTTAAGATTAAGGTCAAATTTGGGAAAGCCTCTATCAAGTTCCTTTCATCGATAAGCTCGAAGATTGAAAAAATGTTCCAGACATTTTGAAAGCAGTTCCACCTCTATTCTCTGTATATCCTTCTAGTGCTGGGCACCCTTGGAAGGGGCCTTGGAGCTAAAATTGCGTTAGCTTTAATGTCAGTGTGCCTCTCATCACTAGCCCTGTTTTGATAGCCACTGAAACTGAAGCCTGGAGTTCACACAGCTGTAAGGACTTCAGCGCCAGGATACAGGCTCCTGTTTCTTGGATATCATGACCACTCGCTCAGAGGCCCACTGCCCCTGGGTGCTCTCCTGGCGGCCCATGGCCTAAGGCCAGTGACAGGACCAGTACTAGTAATGATATAAGGACAGTCACCGCCCACAGAGCAATTAATAGGAGCTAGTTCTGCTAAGAACTGAACGCTCTTCACAGTCTTTAGTCCGCAGAAGCTCCTGTGAAGTGTCTTTAGTGCCTGTCTTACTAAAGAGCCCTACCACCAGCTTGGATTGCAAGCCCTCCTTTTCCTGTGAATGACTGGAGCGCCCACATGATGATTAAGAAAGCTGGACCAAGAGGCCATCGGCGTCTCCTTCTTGAGGCCTCCTGCCTTGGGTTCCCCCAAGTTCTCCAGGGCCTACCCATCCCAAGGGGGCTTCCAGAGACCCCCTGAGGAGACAGCAGGGGCGTATTCCGTGCTCTTCGGCGAGTGTCACACGTGTGCTAGAGGGGTCATCTGCCACTGCACCTTGACACCCTCGCTGACCTGACTTGTGACCCCAGCAAAGTCGTGTGTCCCACCCTTGGGCTCTACGATGATCCCCCAGGGATCTCGGCCTCACCACACAAGTACCAAATTCAGCCCCTCCTTGGAACACCCAGATCTTTGTATCAAGCCAGTTTCCCCAGCCTGGACCCAGCTTCCAGGTGGGGACCTCCCTTCTGAGGCCTGGTGGTCTCTCCCATCACACTGACCCACTCTCATAGATACTGATTTGGGATTATGAGTTGGGGGTCTCCGAGTGTCGAGAAGAATCGGTCCACCCCCTTCCCTCCAGACCAAGCTGAATCTAAGCGTTTGCCTCTCAAGCTGCAGAAGCTTCCATGCTTACTCTGCTCTGGGCAATCCCTCATTTACCCAGAAGGAAAGCTCTGTGTCAATCTTCCCTGAGCCCAGCGCCTCTAACCTCACTGGGCAGAGCTGGCGAGAGCAGTGGGGCAAGGGGTGCTAACACCAACACACACACAGGAACACGGGGCTCCAAGAAGCTCTGTCTCTGCTCAGCTAGGAGGAGGCTGCACCTGCCTCGCCCCCGAGCCTGTGCCTTCACCTCTCACTGGAGAAAAGGAAAAGGCACATTCCTGAGCTGTCTGTTTGGGTACAGCCTCATGGGACAGTGACCCCCCACTGTTTGGACAGGAGTGTTGCTCCAGGCTGGCTGCGGCTCCCAGCTGCCCAGCCCCAGCCCGACCCTTCTCCTCGCCTTCTCCTTCATTGCCACTCCGCGGTTCCCTCTTCTCAGTTCTCATGCCCAGGACTCCTCCTGCAAGCTTCCATCAGCCTGGCCCCTTGTCCCTGGGCATGCCCTTCTGTGATGCTTTTCAGGACAGAGAGGGAGACTCCTGGCCCACCGGGGTCATGCCCCCTGGGCTCAGGCTTAGAGATCTACCAGCTCCCTCCCAGTTCCCTCTTTTGCTCTGCAAGGGGAACCACATATACATTGTGAGTCTGGGCTTGGAAGGGGTGTGGGGAGTGAGGGACATGGACATGTAGGCATGTAATGGCCGCTCGTGGGGACCTGTTTCAGACCAGACACATCATCTTCGTTATTTGTGATCCTTACAATGACCTGCAACAATGAGCCCGTTTCCTGTATGAAAACTTGGTGCTTTAAGATAGTCTCCAAGCTGCTCAAGGACACCTAGCAAATACATTCACGAGCCAAAGGTGAAACCTCGGTCTGTCCCGGAGGCCATGCTGTTTCCTCTATGCCAGCCTGCCATCCATCTTCCCCCCAGCCTTTCCCCCCGTGACTAAGTTATATAAACTCTCTACTTCTCCAGACTTATTCGTTGTCATCTCTTCTGTATTCCCGTGTTCCTTTCCTGGGCTTTTGCTACATCAGGATGCTCGTTTCTGGTTTGCCACCAGAAAACCCATGGTCTTACCCTTGCCCTCTGGTTCCTGCTCAAGGCGAC